TAGGGATAGCTGTCAGCCAGTCCCCTGTGCCGTAGCCTGTTAGAGAGAACATCCGCTGCGTATGGCCTGCCAGCAGATTCAACTCCATGTCTCTTGTTGCCTGTACTTGCACGGCGTAGCGGCTACCGTGGACCTGTAGGGCAAGGGCGTGCTGCAGTTTGACATCCGTCCGCTTAAGTCGTTCCCGTTCTAGCAGCTCTCGTGCATCGGAAGGCAGGGCGGATTCGCACTCTGTGAGCCAGGAGCGAAGCGGTGTGCTCTCATCCACAGGCCGTAGCATATGGCTGCGCGCGTGAAAGAGTGCGGTTTCCGTGTCCAGCGCGAGCGTAGAGAAGAGCAGAGCCGCCTGTGTGAAACTCGCGACGAAACCGTAAACTCCCTCAACGAGGGGGTCAGTAACACCTATTCCCCCAAGAGAGGGGGGCAAGGAGGCCTGCGCCCAGACGCGTGCCTGTTCCTCTCTGCCCGCCGGAGCGCGAATGCTGCACGAGGTAAGGAGTGCTAAGAGGAGGTCACGGCCCCACTCCGTCCAGGTGTCCCGTGAAACAAGGTTGAGGGGAGTTGTTCGGGTGAGATACGCCACGCGCCGAGAGATGCAGCGCGTGATCAGCAGCGAGGCCACCAGAGGATCAGCCCGCTCGATGAGATGTAGCGGTTTCGCCAGGTCCCTCAGCTGCCTTGCCAAGAAAGTAGCTACGCCGTTGGCCGCCCCCAGAAAACTCCCAAGCAAGCGGATGCCGTCCGTGCAGAACGGCACCCCTGGAGGCAACCCAGCAGAGTCGCACGCAGTAGCGCTCCATGCCGTGCACTTCTGCGGGTTGTGCTTCAGGCCTAGTGATTCCAACTTCGAGGTGAAGTGGTTGAACGCGGCTACAGTGGCACTGTGTGCACCCACGAATGTCACGTCGTCTGCATAGGCCAAGCAAAGCACCCCAGGGTATGCTGCCGTAGTGTCACGAAGTGTAGGGTGTATTCCCGCCGCAAACAGTAGCGGGCCTAGTGGATCGCCCTGGCGAACGCTCCGTTCGCTGCGTAGGGGATCGCTCGCAAAGGTCGAGTCCAAGTAGAGTCGCGACGGGTTACCGTAGGTCAGGCGAACCAGTGGGAGTAGTGGCGACAGCGTTGGCTCTTGTAATGCCGCTGCGATGGATTGTCGCGAAATGCTGTTGAAAGCATTCGCGATGTCGGTCTGTAGTACCAGACTGTTTGGGTGGCGGTCCACATACCTTCGGGCGGCATGAATTATCGCTTCCACCCCTCCAGGCACCGCCACTCCGTACTGTAGGGGTAGGAAGAAGTCACGTGCAGCCTCCCCCATGACCAAGAGCGCAGCTTTGGCAGCCAGCCGCGTCAGGCATTCTCCTATTGCGATTGGACGGGCCCCGCCCCCAGGTTTGGCCAGGGCTATGAGTCGAGACGCTGTGAGCAGGTCCGCCACCGAAGCTGGGAGATTTCCCCCCAGAATTGTATTCAACAGGGCGTGCAGATGGGTGCTGCCAGATGCATTGGTTATTGCAACATCGCGCATGTGCTCAAATGTTGTACCCGAAGGTCCGGCACCGACACCGTTCTCGCATCTCCCGAGGAGCTTCGCAAATTCTGCGTGAGAAATGCCCAGGGGCTTAGCGTCGGCTGTTTGCCAGGTCAGCTGTTCGTCTCCCGCTGGTGGATGCTTTTGTCGGAGTTCGTCTAGAATTTCTGGACTCGGTGTACAGACGGGTGTTGACTCGACCGCCAGCACGGCTCGGCGCAGACTGCCACGTTTCGCCAACCCCTCGGCTCTGCTCAGTACACCTGTCACATCGGGTTGGTGACGTGGGGGCGGGGGGGCGTTGACCGCGTTTATCGCCTCCTGGTAGAGCTGTGACCACTCGCCACGCTGGAATGCCCAAAGACGGGCCTTGATTTGTGGCCAATTTGGGTGCTTTGGCGAAGCCTGGCGAAGGGTCAGACGCGGGAGGAAAAGAAGCAGTTTCCAACCCGCTTCGGAGTCAGGGTTTTGCGAGAGGTGGAGTAGCGGGGTCAGGAGTGGCAGCGAGAATAACTGGCACAGGTTAGGCGGTAATCGTCTTGACAGCGGCGGTTGGCGACTGTCGCAGAGGGCGGAAATGTCCCAATTCGCCATGTCGGCGAATTTGTCCCCCATCTCCGCTAGCTCCACCGGCGAAAAATAGCGGGGGCGCTGCGGGGCCGATCCGAGAGAAATCGCCTGGGAGCGCTGTAGCATGACTAACCAGCGCTGACGGTAGTGTGCGTTGAGGCGGGAGGCAGTAGTAGTGAGCGGCCCCTGCCTGAATTTCTTCCTCGCTGTGGCAACAGCTAGCAGCCTAAGGAACTGCACTGTATCGGCCGCCAACGCCCCGTAGGTTTCAGCTGCAAGGCCAAAACACCCCACGTATTCAGGCCGGCCTTCATACAGGCGAGGTTTCTTCTCGGAAGCTTCCCTGGCAGCCCACCCAGGTGGCTTCCGCACCCTAGGGTCCCGCTTCTGCAGCACCGGGTCTATCACTGTTACATCCGTGACCCAAGTCTCTGCCGATTCCCTGTCATGGAATGCAAGGTCCGCCCTCTTGTGGTGGACGGGGGGGGGGGGAAACACCGACGTCTCATGGAAAGTGTTGAAGCCTGCCTATCTTGCCAATCTCAATGCCGTGTAGACCAGGGCATTGTGCGTCCTCACCACATCACCCCCCTCCCCGCACCGGAGGAGGTGGTTTGCCAGGCTAGTATCCTTGATCTCTGAGTTGTCGCACTTACAAGGATACTTGACCGTGACTGGTACGACCATCCCGAGGTGGAACCCGAGTGCTAACGAGAACTGACCAGGGGCAAGTGTAAGGTCAGATCTCGTCGGCACTGCGTGTAGCCAATCCCCAGCTCCCACTCCCCTCAAGCTGACCAGCCGGACCCCATGCCCCTGGTCTTCCCCCGGTTTATCAACCAAAGTGTCAGCCAGCAGCTCCCTGGCCCGAATCACGTTGATGTGCTTGGACACGAGAAGTTGTAGGTTACCCTGCCCCTGAGGGCCCTTCCTGTAGGACTGCAATGCCAACCGTGCCTCCGCTGGCAGCCTCTCCTCCAGAGCAACCAGCACATTTGACGCTGGGGGCGGAGGGATCCAATCTCTGGACAGCAGTGTCTCCACCCGCGCTAACAGCTCCTGCTCCCTCAAGTTCATCTGCTGAAGTAGGTGATGCGCTGCTGTCAGGGACGCAATATATGCCGCTGGTGCCTCAGAGACAGGATCAATGATGCTCAGCCCCCCAAGGCGCACGGGCAGAGTCGCTTGTCGCCACAGGAGGCTTTGTTCCAGCTCACTGGTCGGGACCCGTAACTTAGCTGCAGTAAGCGCCACCCCCACCAGTGACTCACTCCAGGCCCGCCACTCCTCTCGTTCGAGTGTGCTGCTCGGTGTAGTGCGGAGCAGGTTTGAGATCCTACGTGAGATGCTGCGCGTGAGAAGTAGTAGGGCGTGCTGTGGGTGCAGCTGCGCGATAAGAGGGACGAGTGCCGTTGCTGTGGCGAGCGCTTGTCGGACCTCTGAGGTGCAGTACTCCGGCGTGCCGATGGGACTGCCAAGCACCTTGATCCCCTCCGTGCTCATTCGCAAACTGTGAGGCGGCCCCATCTGCCCTGCATCCCCCTCCCGCGGTCCCCATGCCGATGACTTGGCCACATTGCACCGCAGCCCTCGCTTTGCCAGCTCTGTGACGATAGTGTCGAAGGCGTTGAACACGTCTTCCCGTGGTCCCACCACTGTGATATCGTCGGCGTACGCTATGACAGCTGCCCCTGGGTGCGAAGTTGCCGCGCACATCAGGGTCGGCTGAATCACCGCTGCAAACAGGAGTGGACTGAGGGGATCGCCTTGTCGCACCCCGCGGGAGCTCATGATATGCTCGACTCCCAGGGCCGGGTCGACTAGGAGACGGGAGGGCGAGTCGTATAGCGTTCCGACAAACGGCAGCAGTTGGTGCAGGTCCGAGATTTCTAACGTCGAGAAAAAAGCATCCCGCTCGACCGAATTAAACGCATTTTCTACATCTAGCTGAAGCGCGACGTAGTGATCATATTCTCGGAGCAAGGCCCGTATGGTGTGAATGACGCATTCGCCTCCACCAGGTACAGACACGCCGTATTGGACGGGGAGGAAGAATTCGCGAATCGCAGGTGCTAACTCGCGTAATGCTGCCTTCGCTGCCACCCTAAGCAGGGCCTCTCCTATAGCGATAGGTCGTACGCCCCCCCCTGGCTTCTCGAGTGCTATAAGCCGAGACAGAAGGAGGATGTCCCGTATCTCTCTCGTCTGTGCGCTGTTGAGCAACTGGCCGATGACCTTGGTGAGGAGTAGGAGGATTTGCTCGCTGCAGTGGGCCGGGTCCTTCAAGTGCTCGAAACAGGTGCCCGAGGGTCCGGCTCCAACTCCATTCGGGCACTTCGCGAGTAGTTCGCGGACGTCGCTTGTTCGGTTGGTAACCCAGCTCGGAATTGGTAATTCCCTGACAGGGTGTTTCGCCTGTAAGGCAGCGAGTGTAGCAGGTGTTAGTTCTGCCAGCGGGGTCACTTGTAATGCAGACACTGCCTTAGAAATGTTGGCCTTCCTTATCAACCCTTCCGCTCGTGCACACAGGCCTGCCTCGTCCGGCTGATGACGTGTCGGGGCTCCAGTTTCAAGGATCACGCATGCCTCATTGTAGAGATCGGCCAGAGCCCCGAGCCTGAAGTGGTGCAGCCGAGTCTCAATCTGTATCTAGCGGTTCCCTTCTACCGGCTCTGGGAGAGGTCGAAGGGTCAAGCGGGGCAAGAACTGCAGCACAGTCCACATTCCCACTCAGTCTGGATGTGTAGCCAATCGCAGCAGTGGTGCCAGAAGGCACAAGGTGTAGCTCTCCAGAATCTTTGGGGGCAACCGCCTCACCAGAAACGGTTGGTCTGCTTGCTGGAGTGGCGCAATGTCCCAAGTGCTAGCCAGAAGCCAGATTGAGTCATCCTTTGCCAGGTCAGCGGGTGATTTCTCGGATGGCTGCGGTGGTACATCTGCGGCCTGTCCCGCTGGCAGGTTGGAAGGATGTGGCATACCACCTTGCTCCCTTCTCTGCACTCGCCTCTGCGCTAACGCATCCTGGTTCTGATCATCGCCCAGGGAGACCTCCTCCGATGCCTCAGAGTGCGTCGGGATAAAGTCGCTCCCATTCTGGGAGTTATCAGAACCCTCCTCGCCCTCATTCGCAGGCGTAGCCACACGCTCTGGACGGTCGTGACGGTCACGCCACGTGCCTGATCTCGCGATCGCAGCCTCTCCTCCCAGAAGAGCAACTCCCCCTCCCCTTCCCCCTCTCCCTTCTCCTGCTCGGGGAACCGCGGGGGGTATGCCCGCGCTGCCGCCGCCCCTCGCGCTATCCTGTGCAGTCCTTAAACCCCTACCAGCCGGGACCCAAGGGGTCGCCATAGTAGCTCTCCCCGCCCCTGACGGCCTGCCCCACACTATTCCCTGGCCCCTCGTCGAGCTCCGCATTTCTCGGTGAGTTGCTTGCTGGGTCGCGGGCGTGAGAATTGGTTGCTGCATCGGAACTGACTGCTGGACCCCCTGTTGTGCTTGACCAGCCTCCCCTGTGTTGCTCCTTGCACAGGGCCCCGCTGCAGGCTGTGGCGCCAATGGTGACGAACGCGCTTGCCCTGGTGGCGACCCCAGGTCCCAGCCCTGCTCCGGGCCGCCTCGGCGCTGGCTAGGCGTACAACTTCGTCTTCCTCCTCGCCGGGGCGGCGCCGGAAGTGACGGCGGTCGCGGGACCCTCAATTCCACCCACCGCCTGGACGTGCTCCTGTCTGCTTGCGGCCGCGGCAGCAGCAAACGTTCCGGCGGACCCAGCGGCTGTCGGCACAGACACTTCGCTCGGGGGTTGTCCTTGTCGCCTCGCTGCCTCAGCTACGACCGCAGCAATCATAGACTCCTCGAGAGCTGGAGGGGATTCTGCCACTACTGGCGCTGGTGAATCGGCCGGCCCCTGCTCCGCCTGTGCCTCATCCGCTCCGAGATCTTCATCCGCCAGTGGTGGCGTCGCCGCCGGCCACGTCACAGCGGGCGGGATTAAGTTGTTGTCAGAGGCGGCAAATGTCCCGGCAGCCGACCAGTGCGTCACCCGCACTGCCTCCGTCGAATCAGCCCCCGCATTCACGACGGCCTCCATCCGCAGCGTCAGACCTAGCTCCTCCGCAGAAGCATCCTCCCGTGAACCAGTTTCCCCTACCCCAGCCACAGCTGCACCATCCACCGGCTCCCCCAGTGCCGCCACTCCTCCCTGTCCCGCCAGCTCCTCTCGCTGCTGCTCCTGCTGCCGCGACGCCTTCCCTCGTTGAGCAGCGCGTTGTGCACGTGGGGACGTGCTTGACGTTGCTCTCGTACGTACTGGACCAGCTCCACCTTTGTCTGGTGCGGCAGGGCTTGGAGGTTGGGGGGATGTTGCCAGCGGAACAGTCCGCGGCCGTGGCAACGGCAACGGGGATGCTGCACTATCTTCCCCTGATCGGCCTTGTGCCGGGCGCTCCTGGTGCCGCGCTCGGGCCCGGCCCCCGCGCAATGGTGAGGCTTGCTGAGTCTGCCCGGGGGAGTCCCCTTGGTCTCGTGTCAGCAGTCGCATCCGTCCTGCACTGGATGGACGGGAGGCTTTGCTGGATACTCGCCGAGTACCGGGTGTTTTCCCCTTGGAGGCCCCTGTAGCACTGGGCCTAGCTTTGGGCTTCACCATGGCGGAATGTCCTTCGCCTTGGGGTGTTGTGGTTGCCTGGCTTGCTAGAGGCCCTTGTTGTACCGCATGCCGTTATGTATCTTGTCTTGCTTCTCCCCTTGCCACCCCTCAAGCGCGGCCGTAGGCCGCGCCGGTGAGCATCGGCCGCCGAAGGCGGCCGGCGCGAGCTGCCGGATATGGAGAGTGAACCTAACTCACCAGTGAATATTGTGCTATCCGCCTTCTAATATCCCCCTGCCCACTCTAGTTCTGCCTTCAACCATCCCAACCCCCCTGCTCACTCTATTTCCACCCTTCCAAAGTCCCATTCCCCCCTTGCACACTCTCAATCGCCCTTCGATCATCCCTATTCCCCCTGCTCACTCTCTTTCCCCCTTCCAAAATCCCATTTCCCCCCTGCACACTCTCAATCCCCCTTCGATCATCCCAATTCCCCCTGCTCACTCTCTTTCCTGCTTCCATAGTCCCTTCCCCCCCTCCACACTCTCTTTCCGCCCTCAATAATCTCGATTCCCCTGTGCTATCGTGCTATCCGCCTTCCAAAGTCCTGTTCCCCCCCTGCCCACTCTAGTTCCGCCTTCAACCATCCCAACCCCCCCGGTCACACTCTTATAACCCTTCCAAAGTCCCGTTACCCCCCTGCACACTCTCAATCCCCCTCGATAATCCCTATTCCCCCTTGCTCACTCTCTTTCCCCCTTCCCAAATCCCATTTCCCCCCTGCACACTTTCAATTCTCCTTCGATCATCCCAATTCCCTCTGCTCACTCTCATTTCCCCCCCTTCCAAAGTCCCATTCCCCCCCCGCACACTCTCAATCCCCCTTTGATCATCCCAATTCCCCCCGCTCACACTCTAGCCCCCTTCCATAGTCCCGTTCCCCCCCTCCACACTCTTCCGCCTTCAATAATCCCAATTCCCCCATGCTATCGAGCTATCCGCCTTCCGAAGTCCCATTCCCCCCCTGCACACTCTCTTTCCGCCTTCAACCTGCCAACGGGAGTTGTTTCTTGGCCCCGTCCTCGCTTGGGCGGAGCCGACTCCGTGGTCGGGTGTGCGGGAGGTGTAGCCGACCTGCAGCAGTGGGCGCCAACTTGGGAGGGCACCGACTTCAGGAGGTTGACTTGGGAGGTCGACCTGTATAGGACGTCGACTTGGTGATGCCGACCTGAAGAAGCCGGCTTGGGTGGTCGGCTGACAGCAGGGTTGGTCGACATGGAATTGGTCGACCAGCTGTGTGGTCGACCTGGTCTGGTCGACCAAGTGGTGGTCGTCGACCTGGGCGGTTGACGGGCACGAAGATGAGAGGCGCCGACTTGGGGGGCGCCGACCTGGGGAGTAGCCGACTTTATGAAGTCGGCTGGTGGTCGTCGACTTGGACAGTCGACAAGCACATACAACTTCTGGTTGAATTTCCCCGAAGAAGTCGACGCCGACCTGGTGGTTTCCAGGTCGACCAAGTTACCCAGGTGACGAAGTTCTGCGGAGGCACGCGACAGTCGCCTTGGTGGTAGTGGCAAGGCCGACCTCGGTGTGGTATCCCGAGGTTGACGTGGCTGATCAGATGCAGTCGTCAGCGCCAGGTTGATTTGGTGTGTGCGCTGTGCAGGTGACATGGCACGGCGCGCCAATCATCTGCGAGCATCTTCGAAGCAGGTGCGTTGCTGTTCTGCGTATGCAACGTCGGCACGCCGTCGACCTGCGGCGTTGGCACGCCGTCGACTTGCACTATTGGCAAGCCGCGACTTTGTACTGCTGGAGCGCGGTCGACCAAGCCGTGCTGGAACGTGGTCGACCATGCTGCGCTGGCAGTTGACCTGCTTGCATGCTAGCTCTGATGTAGTCTTGTCTTGCCAACTTGATTGTACCATTGTTCTCAGCATTTGCTAGTCAAACTCTTGCGGTTTTACCCAGTGAATGCACAAGTGCTAGAGAACAACTAAGGGAACGAACACAGTGATCCCTCCTACCCCATGCCTAGCCCGTAGTCTAGCTCACATTGCTAGAGTTATCTCCGCATGGTGCGGTGAGCATGGACGGCACACGGCTTTAGTCAGATCGACGTATTGGTCACTTACCTATTCCGTGTTTTAGGCCGGCAGCTGTGCGGTTGTCACCATGGTAGGCACCGTAGGTGACGCAGGTGTGGTGGACACCCTAGAGGCACGGCTGGAGAACGCAAGGAGACGCCATGAGGCAAAGGAGTACGGCGACCTCCACTGGGCAGTCGTCGAGGTTGGCATCCGCACTGTGTGGGCGACGGGGCACCCTCCTTCTCGGCTTGCATCTCCTCGCCGGTGAACACTGAGGGCGGCGTCGACGTGGGCGTCAACGCCGGTTGTGGCCAAGTCTGCAGCAGTGCGGAAGGCACGTCGAGGCATGGAGGTGTGATTCACGCCGATGAAGTCGGCGGCGTTCAGGCGCGAGAGATGCATTCGTCGGCGACTGCTGACTCCTCTCGAGGCAACCTCGGTGGTCGATGAAGCGGATTGTCGCCGATGTCGGCGACCCACACGACGGCAGGCGGGATTGCACCGAGCTACGGGTACTTCAAGTTTACGTCGGATAGGATCTTCTGTTCTCCTTTACTTCAAGTGCTCCTGGTCACTCCCCTGCTAGTCAATCGATCCGACATTCTCACCTAGAAGGAAGCCATCGAGCCCCAGCTGGAGATGGCCGGGCTGATTGGCTTTGCTCGCGGCACCGTGGCGACACCGGAGCACCCCGACTTGCGTGCGGAGTTTTGCACTGTGCAGCTGCCGACCTTCGCGGTCATCTCGCGGTGCTGCTTGCCGGGCATGCAGATCGCCTTGAAGTCGTGTAGGGAGTACCTCGACGCCGGCCACCGGGCGTGGCAATTCATCGAGTCGACGTTCCAGGTCACCGCGACTTGTTCATCGCCCAACTTGAGGGGCAGATGACACACCTGCGTATGGGCGACTAGAAGACTGCTACCAACTACTGCAACCGAGCCCGGCGAATTCTCGCCACCATAAGGATGGCCGGCGCACAGTACTAGGCGGCATCGTACGTCACATACGTTATGCAGGGACTCCCGAGCAGCTACAACCTGCTGAAGCGGCTGTCGATGGCGCCGAGCACGCGGGCGACGCTCAACGAGGACACATTGACCTCGTGCATCCTGCAGGATGTGAGGCGATGTAGGAGGCTGAGCGGTCCCAGGAGCTCCTGGCGTAGATGAACTATGTCGCCCCGGCGAAGCAGGGTGGTCGATCGCAGCAGTGTGGGCAATCTTGCGGCGGTGGCAGTAGTGGCTGGAAGCTGACAAGGACGCCGACAAGACGAAATCAGCCAATGATAGTGGTCGTGGAGGAGGAAGTCGACGTCGGGAGTGCTGGATGTGCGACGACCCTGACCACCTCTCCTTCAAGTGCCCTGACCACAGTGACTCCGGTGACGACGTCGCCAAGGGAGGCCGCGGGAGGTCTGGCAGTCGTCGTCCTCGTCGAGGAGGAAACGTGCCGCGTAAGGAGAAGCAGTCGACGAAGTCGACCTCGGCGAAAGGATGCCATCTCCTCTACTGGCGGCAAGGAATAAGACGACAAGGAGGCGTCGTGCTCGCTAGTCGGCGTCGTGGAGCCGACTGCCTCGTTGGCACCAGAGGCTGGCGAGGACTTCCAGGCCGTGGCAGCAGCTATGCAGGCAAACGTGGTGGTGGTCCTGCTTGACAGCGGCTGCTCCCACCACCTGATGGGGACGAAGTAGGTCTTCGTCAACCTGAAGCCGAGCGGCGACGTCAAGCACGTGCGCGGCTTCAATGAGGTGCTGCAGGACGTCCAGGGCCGCGGCACTGTCGCTCTGCAAGGGGAGGCCGGGAAGCAGGTGCTCATCCTCAACGTGCTCTACGTCTCGGGCGTACGAGCAAACCTGCTTTCGGCCAACCAGCTGAAGGAGAAGGGTGTGCAGCTGCAGGAGGACGGCTATGGTATGTTGCTCGTCTTAGCAGCGGGAGACGTCCTCGGTCGGGCGTCCTATACCGGGTGGGTCCTCTGCACCGACCTTCCCTGCTCGACGAAGTCGACAACACCCACGACGGAGGTCGACGCCAAAGTGGTTGCATGCGAGGCTTGCACACGTCGGCATGGACACCATCCAGAGCTCGGCGAAGCACGAGGTCGCCACTGGGCTGGACCTCAAGTCAGCGTCCGGCGCCGACTCATCATGTGTCTCGTGCGTCGACGGGAAGTTGGCGCGGCACACCTTCCCCGACCAGGGCTCCGACGCCGACGATGTGCTAGCCGTCGTGCAAATGGACCTGTGCGGGCCATTCCGAGTGGCTGCCAAGGATGGCAGCCTATACTTCTTGCTACTGAAGGACCGCAAGACAGGCTACGTGTGGGTGAGGCCGGTCGCCAAGAAGTCGGATGCACTGCTGGAGTTTATGCAGTGGCAGGCGGTGGCTGAGCGACAGACGAAGAAATCGGTGTTGATGCTGCGCTCTGACCCGGGAGGGGACTTCCTCGGGAAGCAGTTCACCGACTTCTTGAACGGCAAGGGGATCGTCCACGACCTGACCTGCCCCTACACCCCGCAGCAGAACGGCATGGCGGAGCGAGAGATGAGGACGGTGGTGGAGTCGGTGCGGACGATGCTGCTGCACATGGGCGTGCAGCACCACTGGTGGCATCTCGCTCTGCAACAGGCCGTCTGGGTTTGCAATTGCCTGGAGAGGTTGACGCTGCCGCCGGGGACGACACCATACATGCTGCTGATCGAGAAGAAGCCCGACTTGTCGCTGACACAAGTGTGGGGCCGCATGGTGCAGTTCCTCGTCCCCGAGCAGCAACGAGGCGGGAACTTGAAGCCGAAGGCAAGGTGGGGCCTTCACCTCGGTGTGTCGGAGGAGAGAAAGGGCTGGGAGCTCCTCGACATCGCCGACAACCGGGTGGTCACCACGTCGGACATGGTGTTCTACGAGAACTTGTCGCTGGAGGTGTGGAAGTCGGAGCAGGGGCTGGCATCGGGACAAAGGCCGACCA